TTAAAAAAATAAAAACTGAAAACCCTTCCAGATTCAGGTGGCCACCAAACAACCAACTTGTTTCGTGTCAGCGTCATGATTCTTTCCAGATTCTAGAAATCAACTGTCCAGATTCATAAAATAAATAAAGTATTACATTACTTGCACACGAAGATCCCGTCATGTGCAATTACCATAAAACCCACATCTCGCGCCATTTCAGTACAATTCCTAAGGGCATTTCCGTAATCTAACATAACACTAAACTTTAACTTCGTCTGCCGCCCACTTTTTCCTTACGTACTTTCCTGCATCCCATTTTTGCTATTTATACCCAATCCCTACGCACTTATTCCCTCCCCCTTCCCTCTCCATCTCTCTCTCTCTCTGCGCTAATCTCACCGGTGGTAGCACGGAGATCCCAAGTGGAGCAAAAGCCGGCTTGCGACGTGGCGGTGCACTCCCAAACGGCGTTGTCTCCCTTCGAATTGAAGCGGGAGTTTTCTCTTGGCGAGGCCTTGGAGTACTTAATGGACAAGTCCATGATCGGTCAGGAGGGCGCTGATACTCAATGGCACCAGGATGAAAAAATCGGCGAATATTGGGCGAAGTACAGGAATTTCGCCAGTACGGATGTATTTTCCGGCGACCTTTGTGCCGGCGACCTCAGCTTCGCTTTCAAAAATGAGGTTAGCACACTCACTCTTTCTCACCTTGAGGGACTTTCGGACGCCGTAGTCCAGTGCCACGTCATCCAACGCAATTTGACATTTTTTTTTTTTGGAACAAATTTGACATGTTATTATATATGTGGTTTTAATATTTTGACTCAAACGTCGTGGTAGTGGGATTTGGATTCTATCCATGTCTAAATTGTATCTAAATTGTGAGGATTTTAGAAATCTTCGCATCTTAGTTATTTATCGTGTATCATGCGTTTAGAAATCATTTAATTTTTTTTATTTAAAATTAAACACAAATAATACCAGACGAAAACTCACAGCACAATGTATGATGAACGGCTAGGATCCCCAAAATGAATCCTGAGAGGATCCTAGTTCGTCGTAGTGGGGCCGAAAATGAAGCTTAATGATTTTGTTTAATTATTTCAAGATAAACGTGATGGTAGATTTGGTTAATTAATTAAAATTTTTTTTCTTGGGTAATTAATCATACTTAATTACCAGTTTAATCATGCTTGAGAGGTTCCAGTTTAACAAGTCATTGGTGATATGGGGAGGCTTATGTCAATTGTCTGAGAAATACATAGAATTCTAAATCCTAGAGATGTTTTATTTTTAGAAAAAATTATGGATTTATTTTCAGCACATAACAAAATATTTTCTATGGATAAGTTGATACTGTAGTGCTATTTAGACGATCAAAACTGATACACTGACTTAGGGATGCACTATCTAATACAAATTTGGGTGTGAAAAAAATTACCAATCTCATATTTGGACAATCGAGTTAGGTTAAGGTATGGAACAGTTAGTCGTCCATTCGCGTGAATAATTTTTTATTATATTATTAATACTCTATTTTGTAATCTTAATTAGTTTTCCATAATTAAGTTGGTTTCTTAGCGAGTGAATTTTTGAGACTCTACCTAAAGTTCATAGCAGCCATTACAAGACAAGTATAAAATGAAGTATCAAATTTTGATTTCTAGCTGCAGTCACATGTTTCACAAAGTGTATATATATGTATTCCATATATGCAGGATATAATGGATGGGTTTTCAAGCTTTGGTGAACTGACAGAGACCCTAATCTGCACTCAAAATCTCACTCCAAAAAACTCCTGCATCTCGGCAACCATGGATTCCCCGTCATCGATTTGTGGTAGGGTTTCAGAAAAACACGTCAAGCTTACACCTTTCGCTTGCTTGTCGTTGTTTTCGTCGCTTTTTCTGCATGCTATGTTTGTGTTTTGGGCACCATTTGTTGCTTGTTGTGTGATTTAGTGGTTTTGATAGATGGTTTATCAGTTGGCTGTCCAACATCGACTGCTAAACCAATTGGCAGAGATAACCAAGCAAGAGGAGCCTACGGTGGCTCGTCTGGAGAACAATCCGATGAGGATGATTTTGAGATGGAATTTGATCCATGTGGAGACAGTACAGACCCCCTCGATATAAAACGCATTAGAAGGTATTCCATATGGGAAACGATTCACGCCCCTTTTCTCCTCATGCATACTTTTTCTTATTGGCTTTTACATTGAATATATCAAAGGAGAATCGAGGGACAAAAAAACGAGGCTAAATTGCTTATCATATTATCGATATTCTATTGTTTCCATTCATTTAAAGGTGGGAATTGATCCAAAGCTGCATTACCTTGTAACCACCTTGCAGGATGGTCTCAAATAGGGAGTCTGCTAGGCGATCAAGAAGAAGAAAGCAAGCACATCTGGTGGAGCTCGAGTTGCAGGTATCAAATATTTTTGGTGGAGTCTTGACCAGAACAATGTTTAGTGTGCAGTGACTAGTGATTAATTGTTTTCCGTGTCAAGTTTGTGATAATCCATTGAGTAACTTGAACTTGTCAAGTTTGTAATTATCCATTGAGTAATTTGAACAAAGTTTGATGCATAAGCTCTCTTCATGGTTTTATTTCAGTTTGAACAACTGAGAGGAGAAAATTCAACCCTATGTATGCAGCTTACGGATGCTTCTCAACAGCTCTGCGACGCTGATACAAATAATAGAGTATTGAAATCGGACGTGGAAGCCTTGAGAGCCAAGGTATAAAATAACATCAGAGAGTGTTTAAACGTGAAACTATCAAAATGTAGGCAAAGCAATCGTGACGGTGAACAAGATGATAAAAAGAAAACAGAAAAGAAGCAAACTTATAGAGGTTTAAAGAGGGTGAATAGACTCTGGAACAGAGCCTCTAATTTGCCTTTGTGCTTGCGAGTGTAGTAGTAGATATATAGCCAAACCATGACAATTTACTGACGTGGCTGTCAGCGATTAGCGAATTCTATATCAAATTATAATACACATAAAAAAAAAAGTACTAATCATGGGTATGTATGCGTTTTTAAAGGCAACGTAACAGTTGTAAAACGTTAAGGGATGTCACTAAAGAATGATGATTTAATTTTAGGTGAAGCTAGCTGAAGATATGGTTGCTCGGGGCTCGATAACCTCTAGTTTGAATCAAATTCTTCAAGGTCATCTAGGCACGCCGCAACCACTCAACCCTCACAATGTGCGTGGGGTAGCAGCACACGTCTCACCAACCATTACCATTCACGGACAGGATGCTCCGTATGCTGGAATTGCAGTCTCTGGACAGAACGCAGGCCTTGGACTCGGAAATGCTGGTATGGCTAATAGCAATCTGAGTAACCGGATGATGAGCGATACTCTTAGCTGTGTCTCGGATATATGGTGATAAAGTAAAACGATTGTAACGCCTGTAGCCCTGTCAATTGGATCGAATATGTCTTGTAATATGCTTTAGGCAGATCTCCAAGTAGCTCTAAGTGTCTCCTTTTCTTTCACTTTTCTTCTTTCTTTTTTATGGTTTCCTAGCTTGTTCTCATGTAAAATGTTGCATTTAGTGAAGAAATTGGAATGATTTTAATTGTAACACGCAAATCTAACCATCCATTACACCGACGTATTTCATACACTGGTGCATTTTAGAATTTTCAATTATTTTTTATTTTGACGCGCAAGCTCCATAAGTCCACAGATTCTTCTCTTTTTGTTTCTGTATAATAATTGAGGTTGCAAAGAGGGAAGATCATGGTGCCAACTGTGTTATATAATTAAGGAAAATGCTTTTCCTTTTACTTGAGGAGTGCTCACATGAAATGCACAGAAACCGCATTTTGTAGTTAAAACGTTTGGAGCCATCCACATATGCTTGTCACCTTCCTAGTTAGCAAAGCACGCATATCCAGAGTTGCAAGATTTTATATTCAAGCCCTACTATGCTACAGTCAGTCGCCTACAAGTCTACAGGTGGTGATTTTTTACCGTGGATCACCCAAGAATCCACATTTGATCAATAGTTAGAAATCGCATTTGATCCCATATTTGATCAATGGTAAAAAATCGCACGATTGATCAATGGTCAAAAATCGCACGAATGATCAACCTCATTTATATTATTTGGGCATTTGATCTCACATTTGATCAATGGTAAAAATCGATCAAATGATCAACCTCGTTTATACTAATCGGGCATTTGATCCCACATTTAATCAATGGTAGAAAATCGCCCGCATGATCAACCTCGTTTTTAGTATTTGGGCATCTGATCCCACATCTAGTGGTGCTGACTTAAGTAGTCCAACTGATGAAGTTTGATATCATTTACAAAATGTCAGACAATTCACTCTCTTTTCATTTGGGTGTGCCTGCAATAAGGGAAGGTGCAAGGTTGCAACTACGCCGGTATAGCTGAATACTTAACAACGATTTATTGATAATTTAGTATTTTTATATTTGATTATATAGTGTTCTATCATCACTGCTAATCACACTCAATCTTATCGTAATCATAATTTGTTCGTGTAAAAATAATTGTTCACGCAAAATTATCTAATCGTGTAAGGGTACTTGTAGCTTCAATGGTTCGATTCTCAACATTCCCTCTATATAAACATCATGCCTTTGTGATGTAGAGCAACTAGCGAAAAAGATAGAAAAACAATTGGAGTGCCGCAAACCCGAGAGCACAACAGCAACCAAGTCTCATAGTTTTTTATTTTATATTTTCGTTTCCCTTTTTAGCCCTTCTAGAGTTTGTTTTATTGTAGACACCTTCTTGGCGTATTGTTAGGGGCTTTTGATTTTCCATTGAATAAAAATTGAGATTAATTCTCTCAAGCTTCTGGTGTTTCAGATTCTATCTAAGGGTGACTGTTCGTGATCCTTTTTTTTGTAACTTCTGCTGTGTCACTTTGTTAGACAAAAGAAAAAAAAAATGATTTCTTCATTTGAGGTTGAATGATTGAGTTTAAAATAAAGGAAAAGAAGAAACAACACAAATTGGACATTGCTGAGGAAAAAAGGTTATGAATCCATTGAATTTACAATTAGGACAACATTTGTTTGAAGAAAATAAAAGAATAATAATTAAGCATCTTGATCTTAATCAAAAAGATAATTACATTTTAATTACCCCATCATTAACTCAAACTCTCCAAAATCAACCTTACCATCCAAATTCAAATCCACAACCTTCACCATCTTCTCTACCTGATCCATGTCCCACCCACTACCCAACCCCAAGCACTCCAAAACCCTTTTCAACTCCACAGCCTCTATGAACCCGTTGCCATCCTCGTCGAAAATCTTGAATGCTTCACGCAGGAGCTCGCTGCGCTCGGACTCGTTATCCTCCAATCTACCAAGGACCTCCTCCACTAGCACTTCATGATCATCCCCAGGCAAATCGAAACCCATCTGGTCTTCCTCATTACGTATTAGTCCAAGATTTTCCACGACACGCCGCGCTTTTTCCTTCTTTATTCTTCCATTTGTTTCCATCCCAAACACTGTGATCAGTGCCCTTGCCATGGACTCATCAACTTTGGTTGCAATGCTTTGTGATTTGTAATTGGAATACTGATCACATTGATCAATGTGAGCTCCTTTGCTTGGCGAACTGGATGGGACTCCTCCAATGGCTTGAACCAGGTCACCAAGTAACCTAGAGCAAACTCCTGTAATTCCCATAATGCCACTGCACAGAAACCCTAATGAAGTTTGCAAATATATGGAGAAATATGAAATGTGTGTGATTTCCTTCAAAATTGTCCACAGTTTTTATAGTGTTGGTCATGGCGAAATGCCCGAGTTTTTTGGGTAAATTACACAAGTGCCATTGCAACAATACTTAATCATGATAATTGTGATAATTATTGTTTGATAAATCTTTAAGATTCCTAAGAAGCTGGCAAATGGTATAGAAAATGAATTTTTATGTGGAACTGGTGCAATACACAAAGGATGCTGTCATATTTGTGTTAGGGTTGGTCGGTTTAAATAAATCTGGATCAAAATAAATTAGTTGTATTTTAATCGACACTTGAGATTAATGTTGTTATAACAATTAGCTTGTCATTTGCTTAAAAAATCAAGAAATATGTCAAATAATTTTTGATACATTTATTTGGAACTTTAATCTAAATGGTCAATTAGAAACCTAAAGTTTGGTTCAACATGTCGAATCAACAATTTTTTTTCTTTCTTTCCGTATAGGGAAATAAGTGAAATGCCACTGTGATAGATGATGGTTAGTATACAACATAGTCCAGTGATTTTGATCTAATAACTTGTTTTAGCAGTGATATCGAACTCTTGTTGTGAGTGTCAAATAAGTACTTGATCACACAACCATTTTGTTTCCTTGTATATGGTATTGCATCTACTTCCAATTTGAAACAAAATGTAGTATACTTACTACATTTTGTTTTATATACAATATAAAGAAATGAGATTTGAACTTGAGTGTAGAGCATTGAACCGAATCTGCAAAGTATAAACGTCAACCTAGATACAAGAAAAAAAAAAAAGAAATAACGACATATGGCACTTGGTGGAAGCATGAAACCATGAAGGACACTGATAAAATGTTTCGTTATAAATGAAGAAGCTCAAAGAAATCAGATTTGTTATTGCAGAGATGATTTTCCATTTCCTTCCACCTATCTTAGAGTGCACATGAAGGAACAGAAATGCCAGAAACCGCGTTTTGTAGTTATTTAATCTTACTTGCAACATTAATTTATTCACTTATTTCCTAATTAAATTAAACAATGATCTCTGTCTAATGCATGCACTGCCCACCATCTCACGTGGGACCTGCAACACACTATTTTAAACTTCTAATCTTTCATGTGGATGCAAATTCTTTCAAAAATAATATATACACAATGGGAAAAAAAATATTTGGATCATCCAGCTTTTAAATCGTTCTATACGAGAGATTCTAAAGTGTAACAGATTGTATATATTTATGCGTTTATTTCTCTCATTATATCTCCAACTTTTAAGTTTTTATGGACAAGAAATTCTTGAGTGTTCGCCATCTATATATAATGTGCTAAGAGAAATGCATTAAATAATATGTGGGAAATTTTTTTATGTTGGGTCGCTTTTAAATGGTAGTCTATACAATTGTATGTCCATCTTTCTCATCATATAGTCAACTTTCAAACTCTCACCGATGATGCAACAGGATAAAAGAGATACACACATTTGTATAAAACTAGTTATATGACAGATTTTCTTGTTGTGACGGAATTTCATGGTCCAATTATTAAGTAATTTTTCAAATGCTAAAATAACTGGACAAGAAAATTGACAGAAAATGAACCATCTCAATTGTGTTCAAAGTTTCACTTTTAAATAATTGCTGTATAAAATTGAAATCAACATAACTGCATACACTCATTCATCTGGGGTAAAAACCAGAAGAATATAATGGAATCAAAATGTGTAATACAAGGTTGCAATGATGATTAAGTGTAAAACGGCTTAATTACCATTTACCAGCCTCAATTGATCAGAGGTTTTCCATCGCTAGATCCCGTTTCGGCGTATCTCAGATAATCCTCCGGCACCGGGATGTTTAACTCCGAACAAACTAACTGGATTATCTTTGCGGTCTCTAAACCAAACGACATTTTATTCAATGTTACAGCAATGGAGAACCGATTCTTTATGTCACAGAAACCAGTTGAGCCACCCATGCCCGAGTGGCCAAAGCCGATAAGGGACCTGTCCTTTGAATAATACCTCTTAAATCCCAGCCCGAAATGCCCATCTGGTTTGGCCAAGTTTGAATACTCGCCAATGCCCATGAAGGCATCGTGAATTCTGGGGTTGTTAAATATCTTAACGACGTCCTTTTGAGGATTAGGATTCACTATGATCTCATCCAACACGGTGTCACTTCCGTTGCAAGTGTTACTGTTGCCGCTAGTGTTTCTACTGTGACTACCAATGTCCTGGTCCTTGCTATCTTGCGCGGTCTTCTCATACTTATTAGTTCTCATGTTCCTAAAAGCAGCAGCTATCTTCTTGCTTCTGTTACCTTTCTGTTTTTTCAGTGACGGTTGATCAGCAAATTTGGGAATGTGAGGGTGGCTACCAAGAGCTGGCTTTGAGGAAGAGGAATGAGGCGGCGGAACAACACCACCATCAACTAAGGTTGCATAGTAACGTGCAAGTGCACGTGCTGAGAAATGTCCATTAGCTGCAGGTATCATGGCACGGCGAATATTTAGCATGTTAAATAGAGCGGGCAATGCAGTTGCAGCTTGCATAATTTTGTCTGGCTGGAAAGTGGAGGGCAGATCAGTACGACCGCTAATCCCTGAAAGCTTCTTCAGGTCTTCTGTATTGGGTGTAAGGGTTGCAAGTCGAGATTCCACACCTAGTATAGGAGGAAAAAGGCATGGTAATTATGAAATCCCAGATTCACGATTACCATAATACATTCTGATAAATAGCTGAAGCAATACTTTCACATTAACAGGAAACAACAGAAAGTAAAATAGACATGTATTGCTCGCGTTTAATGAAGCAAAAAACATAGTATACTTGCCTGGAGGTATTCCAATATAAAACTCCCCTTCAATTTGGAGGGGGTGAACAAATGCTTCTTCAAGAATCTCTTTGAATTTCCTCTTCGATGCATGCTGTTCCACCCGAATAGATAATTAGAAAATGATCAAAGCAAGTTTTGAACATTAGATTCCCGGTCACACAAAAAGTGTTCCACCACATATTTAAAAGCACTGAAAATAATAGGTGCCAATAACTGTTCTGAATAGTAGGCAATTGTACCTCGATAATCCCACCGCATATCCAACCAAAAGATAGATAGTGATACAGCTGCTCCTGGCCAGGTTCAGTCTCAGGTTCTGAAAGGGCAACGCGGTTTAAACACTCCTCCCAGTCTAACATAAGCAAAGGGTTCTCTGTGCCAAGCTCTCCCAAGGCATTGTGCAGTCCAGAGGTATGGTTTAGGACGTGATGGACCTAAAATTAAAATAAAAATACAAACAAAACTTATAGCTTTATTGGATTAAGAATATCAGGAATTGAATCACAAAGTTTATACCTTTATCTGATGTTTTCTAAATGATCCAAATTCTGGCCATATATTTGCTACGTCTTCCTCAAGGCTCAATTTTCTGAAAGGGCAGAATAGTTAAAACAATTTACTGAATTTACCAACAATGCAGAAAGATACATCATAAATCTCTTGTCATGTCATTATAACTGAAATTAACATACATGATAGTTATTTTATCAAACTGCTCCTGAAGCCATGCAGGTAATGCCTAAAATATCAATCATTTCTCGTTATGGATCACATGATCGAAGTTTCCATACTACGATAGATTCCCCTGTTGTGCAGAAAGGAATGGGGATCCCAGACAACCTCAGACAATTAGATACAAACTATATGCTATGAAGACGCTAAAATAGAAACGAGAGCTTATTCTGAATCACGTATAATGCCTCAGGCGCAGATTAATACAGCAAAAAGAAACATGGAAATATACTAATACGCACCCAGTGTCAACCAGCCAATGTAACATTCCAGCTGTTAAACCCTTTGTAACAGAAAAAACTGGGAAAAGGCTGTCAGGTTGAACTGGACGAGGATCATATCTACCAAGCACTCCAGCAGCAGTGTCAATAATAACTTCCCCATCTTTGTAGGCACATACCTTAATCCAAAATCATGAAAGCTTGATTAAACTATAATTTGAAAGAACAGAAAAGAAAATTTAAACAAACAAGCAACATTTTGGAAGTAAAAAATAAGTAACAATAAGAAGAACCTTGTGTACCTCTTCATTTAATACAAAAAACAGAGGTTTAAATAAATATAAAATTTCAAGGGCATCTACAAGCTTTAATCCTTCTAACATAAAACTAGCTCCTTGAACTATTAACTTAAAACTTTAACGAGAAAATATCAGCATTCAAGGAACACGCAACACCATTGTAATGAAACTGAGACTTGCACTGGAATTTAAGAGCACAATAATATCCTACAATGTCAAGCTTTATGTATGTGAATGGAAAAGGACTATTCAAATTTTCATGGCATCATTTCAGCAGATAAATTGGTGCACACCTGGACTCCAAGTATTTTATTGTCATTCCCCAGCTCAACTAGGAGCTGCCTCAGCTTGGCCTCCACATTAGAGTGGGCAGGTGTGTCATAGACCCACTGATCATTTTCCATTGGTCCCCTACTAATGTTTCTGAAAATTTGGGTCGATCAGAAAAGAACCAGATATGATGACAAACCAATGCAAAACAATATTCAAGATACACTTACCCTTGTAAAACGGATTCAGCAAATGGTCTCATGATCTCTTGATATACAATCCGGACATTCATTGTGGAAGAAAGCCCTACAACCAAGTCAAATGTAAAATTAAAACGATATAGTTATTTAACACGAAAACAGCAGAGAAAATTTTCGTATACAGACCTCTGAGAAGATTGAGGACTCGTGCAAAAATTACAATATCACCAGGAAATGCATCAACCTGTTAAAGGGATTCTTACTAAATTTAGCACAGATGAAATAATCAATAAACATAGCAGAGAAGCACGACGGTAGGAAGACATTATGCATGAACTTACAGGATTAAAGCGTTTTGCCTCCTTCTGGTTAAGTTGCATCTTGTCCTGTATAACCTTCATGTTTTTTGCTCTTTGATCCACCATAGATTTCAT